CTGGTCTAATGACTGATGGAGGAGAAGAAGGGAGTTCATTAAATGTTAAATTCTCATCTGATATTCGTGACACCATAGACCACGAGGTACACAAATGGGTCCTCTCACAATTTGATAAAAACAAGATACTCAATTCAAATCAAATACGACAGAAAGCGTACGAGATAGGACAGAAACACGACCAGTACTTCAAAGCCTCTCTCAACTGGTACAAGAACTGGAAGAAGAAGATTAACTTTGAGGAGCAGCCGGAACTGGACGCCCTAAGGAACAGGAAGAGAGCCTATACAGCTGCTTTTAAACTCCACGCTGTACAACGGTCTAACGAACTACTGTCAGTTAGTCAGGCCTCTCTGGAACTTAACGTATCAAGAAGGTGTCTTCAGAGATGGAAGGAGGAACTAGATGTGATCAGTACTGTAGCTGAGACAGCGTCTAATGCAGTGTACCGTCGACCAGGTCAAGGGAGAAAGGTTGGGGACAGTTCTCTTGATTTGAAACTGGTGGAGTGGCTACAAGAGTCGTGGAAGGAAGGACAGCAGGTGTCATCATCAGGAGTGAGACAAAAGGCTAAGGAGATCAGTGCTAATCCTGACTTCAAGGCATCGCTGGGTTGGTACATGAAATGGCAGAAAAGACACAATGTCAACTTGAAAGATAAGACCATCAACTCACCGGCTCTTAGAGGTGACTCCACCCACTTGAAGCTCCGCCTACTACCGGAGGGACAGCAGTGTGCTTATAGTAACCACACTGTCCACCCACGGAAGAAGAGGAAGACAATAGAGGAACAACCCCTCAGTCCGGTAGAGGAAGGGGGCGGGGCAGGAGAGAGTGAGGCGGAGTTTGACAGAATGTTACTAACATGGCTAGTGGAGAGATGGGACTCTTCTGATACTGTAACTGAGCGAATGTTACGAGAGAAAGCAAACGAGATATTGACCACACCCACTTCATTCCGACCTACCAAATCCTGGCTGATTGACTGGATGAAGAAGTACAACGTGTCACTAGAGAACCAAACCTTTGGACTAAGAGGAGAGAATGAGGGGGAGATTGTGGAGGAGAGTCCAGTCTATGATGATATTACAGTTCATGATTCCTCTCCTCTCACGCCCACTAAAGAAGAAGCAGCTACTGCTTTAGCATCTTTAGCTAGCGAAGACCCCGGGGGGCTGGAAATTGCTGAAGCCTTGCAGAAATTAGCTTCTGCTTTTGGACTTAACCAGGTAAGATCAGAGCCTCCTGTTATTTGTAACATAATTATTTATTATTATTTTACGTGTTTATTTCACAGGCTACTGGTAAAGAAGCAGTGGTTCATCAGTTAGCTGCACTTTCTGAGCAGATGACGTCCCAGCCCTCACTAATGTCACCCTCTCCTGCCGTTCCCCCGGGCAACATAATAGCCCCCGCCCCGTTACCCCCGGCAACAGACCCCGCCTACCTCCTAGAAGAAGGTGTGGTCCAGTTAAGTAGCGAGGACGTCATTTCGGAGGAGATAGTAACTGATGATAATATCATTGTCTATGATGATCCTAACACTACTACCATTAATGAAGGTCATGGGGGCGTGGTTAGGGGTGGGGCTAATATACTAGATACAAGCAGTACCACTGGGTCCGGTAATATTGAGTATGAGATTGTGGGTGGGGCCACAGGGGCAGACTTATTGACATACCCACCTGGTGGTATAACGTCTTATGATAAAGAAGATGGAGATGTGTTAACCACACCTCCTCCACGACATGTTTTTGTTGAAGATGGTTCGGGTAATTTATTGGCCACACCCAGTGCCCAGCAGGGGGTCGTTAATCGCGTGGGTGGAGAGGAAGAGGTGACAACTGAGAGTGTGGTCATTGATGATAATGATGATAATATAATTAACGAGCTGATAGCCACGCCCCCTAATATTAACGATGTCCTTATCATGAAGACTGATAATTCTTTTGATCAGAATTAGACTGACCACTCCCACTTTTATAATTAACCAGGTAATAAATAACGTTTGGCTATTATTAGTAACATTCTCTTAGTTATTAATTAATTATTAATTGATTATTATTATTGTTGTTGTTTTTGTTTACATACTCCTCCATTTGTTATTATTTCATTAACAGCAGCTGCTAATTCTTTGATATCATTAATATCGTTATAAACATGAACTGAGACCCTAACATAAAGAACACCTTGAATCACCTTTATTGGAATCTGTAGGGAGGGAGAGAGAGGGAAGGAGAGAGAGAGAGGGAGGGAGGGAGGGAGAGGGGGAGGGAGGGAGGGAGAGAGAGATGCACATTTAGTGAAGGAATTGAACTCAAATAGAGATAAAGAATGATTGTGTATCTTTCTTTACTTCAATCTTGTACTTGTGGTGTAACTCGTTTTGAATCAGTTCAGCATCATCATAGCTAATGGCGTCATCTTTTTTCAAAACACCAGCTGGTAATTGTACTAACATCAGTCCACAGAAGTGATCAATGTTTGACAATAGCCCAGTCCCCCATTGAGAGACAAGGTATTCACCTAATGGAGAGGGAGTAGCCATTAGTTACTGGAGAGGTAGTTCTTACAGTACCTGCCTCTCTTGACAGACTCCTGATGTAGTGTCTGATCTTTTGTGGATTGTAATGTCTCCAGAACTGAATAACTGCAAACAGACAAATAAATAAATAAACAACAACATTACCAGCTGTACCTGTTAATAATGATAAATAAGAAGTATAGTCCATTAAACCTAGAAATGTGTTTATTTATTTATTATTATTGTTATTATTATTAATCACCTGACCAGAGGAACTCAGCTGTAAAACCTGATCCAAACCCGTGTGATACCACTAATGGTCTTATCAATGAGTGGTGGGCGGAGTCAACATACAAGAAGCCACACCCCTAATAATAAAAACATGTAATGATAGCTACATGTATTGATTAATTACTTTTGGATTGCAGAACCACTTATGAGCATTACCAATGTAATAGTCAGCAGAAATATCCCTAGACAAGAAGAAACAAGTACATGTATACAGTATAGTCTCTCTTAATGGACACTCTCTATAGCGTACACCTCCATTTAACGGACAGCACCTAGTGTACCAATTACATTCCTTACTGTATAAAATAACCTCCACATAAAGGACACCTCTGTATAGCAGAGACACAGTGTCCATTATATAGAGGCTAGTCTGTATAAAGTACATGTAATATACTGACATATCCTAACCTCCGTATACATGTACATGTTAATATACTGACATATCCTAACCTCTGTATACATGTACATATTAATATACTGAGTTATCCTAACCTCATGTTAATGTCTAACATTCCCAGAGCATGAGCTCCATCAACCAGCACCTGCACACCACTGGATATTAAATAATTAATAATAATTAATAAATATTCACGTACTATTAAAACAATAACATCATTATTACCTTCTGTGGCAGACTTTTACTATCTCCTGTAGAAAAAGAGAGAGAGGAGAGTAAAATTATTCAAATTTTAGCAGCTGTCATTACTTTTACTGGCAGTACAACACCATAGTTACTGGGAATGTGGTCAAGGATGACTAATCTAGTAACTGAACTACAAAATTATAATAATAATAATAAATTAATTAATTAAGTTATAATACGTCATACTCAATCTTCTCTGATACAAGCTTTACGACCTTTTAATAATTAACATGTTTAATTAATTAATTAATTAATAATGTATTTATTATTTACGTCGTTAATGTCTTTCAATGGAAACTCAA